CTACCCCTGTTCTAACCAACTGAGATAACTGGCCTTTAATTTGGGTGTGCCCCCTGCAAAATATGCCTTGGTCCTCCACAAATCAATACATCCACATACAACATGCCTTGCAATGGGGTGGACTCTTCATGGGACATTCTGAAGTGGGGGCTGGATGGTCCACCTGGCAGGGACGTTGTGACTGGGTTTTCCATGCTGACAGAGTTATAGAACTTGAAAGCTACCTTACACCAAGTCAGACCCTAGGGGTCCATCTCATTCTGATCAATCTACAGCGACTGGCTGTGGGCCTGGTTTCTTGGGGCTTTGGGCAGAACATCCACCATCAGTGACATAAGGCTGGTGCAGAAAATAATGCTTGTTGGAGCAAAAAGACAGAAAGAAATGGTACTCTAGCCTAGAAGGGAAATAAGATTGAAGCTGGTGGGCCAAACAATGGAAACTGCTGTGGTTGGGGGCGGGGGTCTGTGATCAAAGCAGGAGGGGCTGAACCAAGCAAAGTGAAGCCCATCTCATCTGACAAAGGACAGTTGTGAGGGGGATAGAGTCAAAAAGCTTGGCTAACTCTCCTGCTTTTGACTGTCTAAACCACAGGTAAGGCAGGAATCTGGTAGGTGTGCTGGGCCCGGGGGTAGCCTGAGACATGCAGTCCAGGTCCAGTCCCAAATCCAAGGGCTCCGTGAGGAGTCAGTCTGGCAGGACACGAGGCAGGAAACCAGGCAAGGTCAGGCACAGAATCTCAGGCAGGTTCTGGCAAATAGCAATGTTGCTCCCGCAACCTGGGGCGGGGTCCGACAGCCATTTATCTCTGTCGGGGTAAGGGCCGGTCCTGATCCCCCAGTGTCTCACCTCCCTGTCTCACCCAAAAGTGAGCACTCCTCCTGCGAGTACTCAGGTCTCTCCTTCTCTCAGACCTCAGTCTCTGCAGCTCGGGAGACATCGGTGGGTTACTAGACCCAGCCTCTCCTGACCCAACCAGTAGTGGAGCAGGTGTAAGTGATAGCCCAGCTGGAGGCAACGAGGTCATCCCCGCATCTGGAGCCAGGGCAGGCTCAGGCCCCTGACTCGGCCCAGCTGGTGCTTGTTGCAGGGGAACCTGTGCAGACTGGGACTCTTCAGGATCAGGCCCCAGACTAGGTTCAGATGATGCCTGAAGCAAAGGATCCGGTGCAGAACTGAGTCTCCTCTGGTTCCAAGTCCGAGCCCGAGTCCCAGGCCATCACAGCAGGACACCTGAAGCCGATCCAGGGGCCTCCTTCCATGTGTCCTCTAGACTGATTCCTTTGTGGTTTGTGGGCGATGCTCCCTAGTGTAGACAGAATGTGGATCCCAGATTGTAAGGGTTACCAGCAGCATTGGCTATTTGAATGGGTGATGGATAGCAATGAGTAGATGCAGGTAGAAGCTTGCAAAACCTGCAGCCTCCTTTGCAAGGAGGAAGCCTCAAGCGTCATGGCCATGTGCCTTTGTCATTTTTTATTGGGACAAAAGTTTTCCCCTCTACTTTCTCTTTTATAAATAGGCTTTCCAAGTAATGCAGTGCCAGAATCCTCACTTGTGTCGGGTGGATGGGATCCTTGCTAGCTGTAAACATTCCCTCGGTAGAAGCCATGGAAAGAATCAAATGGGAAAAGCTGGTTTGGCATTTTGGCTTGCTGAATTCAGGGATGAAAAACCAGAGGGGTCTAATCCAACAGACAGATTTGGGCAGGGGCTGAAAGTAGCCAGCAAGATCACTCTGCGGATCAAAGCTTTGGAGACAGAGGACATTGGAGCATGTAAAATTTGTGTGAGATTTATTACAAAAGTGTTTGAAGATCACACCTTCCTCCTTTATGTATATGGTAAGTAAAAATTTCACTGTTTGGGTCTACTAGTTGTGAAACATAACATAGGATCTCTTTAGGGAAATTTATAAAACAATATCTGAGTATAACCAAACACGGTCAGGAAAGGGGGAAATCAGTTCACCTCCCCCCCCCCCCGGGAATAATGACTGAAATGGACATCCCAGAAGGTGCACCACAAGCAAACTTCACCGATGCAGCACACGCGCAAGAGACGTGTCAGAGGCGAGAAGATGTGGTCAGATAAACTTCAGAAATAGATGCAACCTTAACTAGTATTTGCTGGCCTGCTGTTTTGCACCTAGGCTCTCTGACATTTAAACTGCAGGAAGAGGGTTTGTTCTCACAGGTTGATATTTATAGCACAGCTACAACAACGGCTGATATCTTCTATATCTGAGAAGTGGGAGGAGAAAGCCAAGGGTGGACTTATGGCCACAGGAAACAGTCAGCGACCTCAACATCCATCTCTCAGGGCCCATCCATACCTTGGCTCAGTGTGGATTACAAACCCCTCGTGCATCTTCTAATTCCCTCCCTTGTCCATTCTGCCTTCTCCTTCCACTCCTGTTGCCCCAGACTTTCTCATTCCTAAATCTGCACGTGTCCCATGCAATCAATGCAGCTCTCCTATAGAGATTTCTAAAGCATAGGGAATTTCCGGCTTAGGGAAAAGAAAGCACAGGGAAGCAGGAGTTGGAGGAGAAGGCTATATGGATGAAGGTGGAATTAGAAGATCCACAAGGGGTTCACAATCCATTTTAAGGAGAGGTGTGGATAAGATCCAAGTCTGTCCTCTTTTGCATTTTCTGCATAGGAACTCAGAAAGCTGCCTGTGCTAATGTCTCTATATTGACATTTTCTTAAGAAGCAGACAATGCAAACTGGGCCATTGGAAAGGTTTATTTTAACATTTATAAGAAAGAAGGGATCAGTAGCAACTATGTTCTTGCAACCTTTTTTCCTGGGACTGCAGTTTCAAGGAGATTATTGCTATGCTCTTCTTTGGACCTGAGAGGGGTGTCTATTCATCGGAGCAGCCCGGGACCTCAATATGCACCTCCCAGGCTTGCACCCCAGAGAGGTCACTTTGGTGCTGCTAACATAGTGATGTGACTTCACCCCCGGAGGTGCACTCCATTGTCTCTCAAGACAGCTGGACGCCAACAACATCTCTTCTTGCAACAGTACTGTGAGGTAGGTCAGGTTGAATGACAATTGGTTGCCCAATGCTCTGGCTGAGAAGCTATAGAAATCCTGATCTCTGTGGGCCTCTACTCCATCAGGCTATCCACTGGGATAGTTGTTGTTGTCATCACACAACTAGGAGTCAGAGAAATCCTTTTTGATCCATTGCTCTTCACTCAGAGATCCACCACTAGATCCCTTTTGCCCACTAGACCACCAGCTCTCCATTCAGATCTACCCCACAAAAGCTCTCTGTTCCAGGGTTGAGGCAATGGAAGAAGGCCCAGTCAACCTTTGCTCCCAATAATTGAAGCTTCACCTTGTTTCAGTGATCTGTTTGGATCTGGCTGTAGATAATTGGAGAATTTGTTTCAGGATTCTGGTCTGGGGTTGCAGAGAGATGACTGACTTCCTGAAATGAAAAGGAAAGGGAAAATGATGATAGACAGGGTATCTTTTACAGATAGGTAGCCGTGTTGGTCTGCCATAGTCATAATAAAAAAATTCCTTCCAGTAGCACCTTAAAGACCAACTAAGTTAGTTCTTGGTATGAGCTTTTGTGTGCATGCACACTTCTTCAGATACACAGGGTATCTTTTGTTTGTTTACATGGAAGAGCTAGAAGGGAAGGAGACCCACTCTTCAGCCAGGGGAAATTAGCTGTGTGTGTGTAAAACAGGAGTGGGGATCAGGCAAAAGGTAGCAACTTCTTTCTTCATCATTCATAAGATTTTTACCTGGCCTTTATCGTAAACTCCCAGGGTGAGTAGATAAATCTGGCTATTGTGGCTAGTAGCTATCAATAGCCTTATCTTCCTTTGCCATGGAATTTCACTGCCTTTTGCCAGGGTGAGTTCCATTGTTTAAAATCGGGATTGAAGAAGTCTTTTGTTTTGCCTGTCCTGAATTTCCTAAAATCCACCTTCATTTCCCACAAGGTCTATTTTTTGAGGGCAGATTTATCCCAATCCACTTTCTCCAAACCATGTATAATTTTAAACGCTTCTTTCTCACCTTTTCTTCAACCTAAAGAGCTCCCCAAGTGCAGAGTGTCTCTGTTTTAGTCCCACCATGCAAGACCATCTCACTCTCACCTGGCTCTCACCCCCTTCTGAAGGGATCCATCTTTTGGGGAGCTCTGCGTAGTGAAGCCCAGGACTGACATACCCCTCCTCTCCTCTCACAGAGGCCACAGCTGTAGGGGTGAGACATTAGACAAGTTTATTTGGTTGCACTGAAAAGGCCTGCCTTGCAGGAGAAAACAAAGGAAGGAAAGGGTGTTTGGGACTATGCTGGCTGGCCAAAGATGGGCAAGGAAAGGAAAACATTCCCTACCTCTTTGAGATAGAGTCGTCCTGCTTTTCTTCCATAGCCAGAACCCCAAACCTGCTACCATCACGAGGAGAGGCACAACAGCAACAAACCAGAGTGGAGGACCTGAGATGGATGATCCAGAACTACCTGCAGGGGCCACAATTGTCCATCAAGAGATAATTGACAGCAACTGCCTCAGTGCCCCATCCCAGGATAAACATGGTTAAAAAATACCTGCCTTTATGAGCTTCTTCTTTTTCTTCTTAAGGAAGTATTTGGGTTCTGCTCATCGTTATAAACCAATCCAGGCAGCACACACAGATTATGGGCTTAATTTTTTTCCACTTCATTAATGTATATTGTTATGTACTGAGTTGAATAGGGGTCAGAATGCAGCCTTCTGATTGGTCCTAGAACAATAGGGTCCAGAATGCAGCAGTCTGATTGGTCCACAGGAGCCACCCAATCCAGCTCCAGGTGGAAGTGAATACGCAACCTGATTGGCCTACAGGAGAATCCCGGAATTATCCAATCACGTGGGGCCCATTGTGTAAATAATGTATATAAAGCAGACATTCTGGGGGAACTTCCATTCCTCCTCACCACTATGAGCTGAATAAAGAGCATGAAATCCATACTCGACTCCAAGTATATTTCATATATACTTCTTAATTGTTGGGAACCTCAAAGGGGACTCAATGGGTGACTTTGGGTGCCTGCCACTGCCTCCTAGCCTAACCTATTCCCCAGGCTTATGGGGATTAAATAAGGATGGAGAGAACAATGGACGCCACCTGGAGCTCCTTGGAGAAAAAAGCCCTTGCTGTCTTAGATGCCTGCTAAAACCTTTTTAAAATTTCTGCAGGTGTGCCCAGCCACATATTTAGCTGTGTATACTTTGAGTAGTTTTTCCACTAATGCTTATTTTATCTGTGCATTATTAATAATTATTTTCTATTGTATGTACTCTGCTTAGAAATCTCTATTTTGTTTAAACTGGATAAAATACATGGAGACTTGCTCACTGTGGGTTTTGCAGACGTCGAGCAAGTTGAAGGAGTTGCTCCTCTGTTCAGCTGGATTGGTGACCAGGCAGATGTAGGTGGGCCCTGAAGAGTTGAGCTTCCAGAACAGGTGGAGATCCGTGCCATTCTCTGTGAGGTGGTACCTGTCTGACCCATCATCTAAGTCCCTGAGGGGGTCCCCTCTTTTCCAGGATACATCAAATCCCCTCTTTCCAGGCACCCGACACTGTAGGGTCACATTGCAACCACCTGGAGTCTTGGAGACATCTTTGTGGAGAATCTTTGGCTCTGGGATGGGCTCTGTTGAAAAACATATGACAAAAGACACATCCTCTGTGACCCTTTCCCCAAGAATGCCAGTAACTTGATAGAACCAGCATTGCTGGGTCCTTTCCTACGGCCAATTCCACAAGAAACAGATGAGAAGGGCAAAATAATTACTCACCATATACAGTGAGGCAGAGTTTATGATCTTTCAACGTTCCTGTACTGAATGTCACACGAACTCCATATATTCCACTGTCCTCCATCTCCAGATCTTTGATCCTCAGTGTGGATTCATTGGCAATTTCTATCCTCTGCCCAAACCTGTCGTTTGGATCTGGCCGCTCCAGCTTCCCATCCCTGAACTTAGCAATCTGCACCGTTATGCCGTTCCACTGAAAGTTCCACTCAATGAAGGCGAATCGTTCTGCTGATGAGACATTGGCAGGAAGCAAGACGGATCGTCCCAGGATCCCGCTCACTTGACGCAGGGTCTGAGTCTGTGATGAGTTGCTTACAGCACCTTTTTTTAAGAAGTGGAGAGAAAGAATGGGAAAGGTGGCAAATCAATCAAATGTCTGTTGGATAGATGCCTACAGGGAGCCCAGAATCAAGCCCATAATTTTCTGTATTCTTATTAAATCTTGGTATTTACATAAGCTCTTTGCTAGATTTTGAAGTTCTGTAAACAACTATTCCCAACTCTACAGTTCTATGATTCTAAATCATTGTTGAATTGCTGAAGTAGTTTTAGTTAGATTTTGAATAAAGGTGTAATTAATTGTTACTGTTTGAATGTTGTAGTGTTATTATCTCCCTTATTTTCTACATCATGCAAATCGTTATTCTGAATGATGCTTTTTATGGTGTAGAGGGCACTGCGGATGAATTTTTGGAACCAAGCGGCGTTGGCCAAAAAACTTTGGGAAGCACTTATCTGAATTAAAAACTTTGTCTTTTGAAGTTGATGCCATCAGTGAAATAGCTAGAACTCTTTCAACAGCACAGAAATGAACTAGAAGTCAGTGCAGTGAGTTAAAAATTGCAGGGCATTTATAGCAATGCTGTTATGTTTTCAAGCCAGTTGTACCTTCCAAAAGAGTCCTCCAGCTCAGCTCTATATGATAGCTGAATCATTATCCTCTCTACATCCAGAAAGATTAGCTCCCATGTGATTTCCTAATATCGAGACTGAACCGTAGTCAGGACTCAGGACAAAGCATGTCAATTCTGCAATTATGAAAACAAAGCGAGCTACAAACAGGGAGAGTCAGTAAAGCAAATAAAGCTCACAAATGACATCCTAGAGGACAGCTCTTAATTTCAGTGCTTGAGAGGAAAACAAATCTGATTAGATCCTGCTATTTACATGTGAGGAATTTGATCCCTGTGAACCATGGAAGTAGAAATAAAATGTGCAGGATCAACCACTTGTGACTTTAATCACAATTTGCTAGCAGAGGAGGGTTCTTCCTCCACCTCTAACTGCCATGTTTCCACTCAAATATATTTCATGAAAAAACTAAAAATTCTGCTTTTACTGATGCAGCTGTTTATTTCATTTTTGCTGCTCAGAGTTCTACTTAATTGTGATTTTTATTTTATATGTTGTGGGGGCTATTTGAGAACCTTTCAGTTTTAAGAACCAGATTGCAAAATTTGCTAAGTAGAGTTTTGGAAAAGGGACCCCTTTTGTCTAGTCAAATTCAAGAGGATTTTCTCAGAGGTCATGGATGGGTAGGAATTAAAGCTGGGTCTACCATTTTGGAATAGTCAAAGTATTTCAATAATGTTATGTTTTGTAATGCAAATTATATATTTTTATTGTTATTCATTCATTCAACCCTGTAAGATAATATATTTTTATTGCTATAGACTTGAAGCTTAGAAAGAAACCCAACCATAGTTCTGTTTTTGAAAATGAACTAAAAAGACAGATTAGTAAGATTCTTTTCAGCCACATTGAAGATGTTTCTGTCTAACAAGATTCTACGACTCTGTGTCATCTTTATTTCCTCACAATTAGAGAGAAAGGTTGGGAACTATCAGTCATGCAGCTTTATAGATCTGCATAAAGAAACACAAGCTTTACGATAGACTGCTGACTCTACAGCTAAGCCCACCCCTGATTTCTAGCCCATTCAACTTGCCTTTCCTCATCCTATTCGCTTTTTTCTCCAGCAATAGATGTTTGATTCGCCAAAGGTCTCCACCTTCACAACTCCATTGTCAAAGGTTTACAAGTGATCAAAGAACAGAAGCTGAAGTCGTGGTTACTCCTTGCGGCTATGGAGTTGATAAGCGTCTATCTATCTCCTTGTTGCAAAGCATGGAAACATATATTTCTGGTTTCCTCCTTCAACACCCACTCCCCATCAAAATTCCGATGTGTTAAGGCTTTAGCAAGCCTTGGTCAACTTACCAGAATAGGAGCAGATTAATGTGCAGCAGAGAAGAAGGGTCTGGAGACTTTTGCTAGAGCGCAACACAGCCATCTCTGGCCTCGGGTGTGGAGAGCTCTCCCACTGCACACAAACCCTTTGCTGCTCGCTTCTTTCTTTAGAGGAGGCGGTGAGGAGTTGTGTCCGGTGTGGCTGACATAGAGCCCACCAAAGGGGTTTGTCCCTTTTGGGTCAGCCCTTCTGGGTTGGGTCGAAGGCAAAGGCACCACCCCTTTTTCTTAATTGTTTCCTCTGGGATGTTTGTGATCACTGCTACTCAACAAGCCACCCCTCTAAATCTAAATGGAAGCAGAAAACTAAACCCAGGCTACCATGTGGCCCATGCTGGAATCTGTACATTAAGAAATGATCAACTGAAGGTAAAAATAGAAACTAGGGGAGTGTTGAAAAAAGGAGGTCAGGGTGTGGAAGTGAACCCAGGATAAACTTCCTACCTTCCCACAGGTATAGCAGTGGGAGAGGCATATGGAGACCTTTGAGGAATGGTCTCCTGAACCCAAGGTAGGGAAAATGTCCCCCAGAAGCCTCCGCAAACAGAAATTCACAGCTGATAACTTACTATTTTCACAGCACCACCATCACTGCAGTGCTTTGTACTTGTGTTAACACAAGTGTCTGTGGGTGCACAGATGTCCAAAAGCCCCTCCCCCCGAAAGTAGGCTTCTAAGAAGTACTATATTTCTATTCTATTGTAAATCAAAATGGTTGTGAATAGTGGGGGGTTGTGTGATGAGACTAGTTTTGTGTAGTGTGAGCGGGTTCAGTGATTGCATTACATGGTTGTTATTTTGGAGTGATATTTATGGATTTCAAAAATATTTAATTTCATAAAATTTATATACAGCTTAATTGCAAAAAAAACCCAAAACAACCCAACAACCTCAAAGTGGGTTTACAAACAAGAGTAAAATAATAAATTTATCAGTCGTAGCAGCTTAAAAACAGCTGTTTGAAACATTCAAAAATAAAATCACTTATGAAATATATTGCTGTTACATTGCATTTTTATGTATCTTGCTATATCTTGATGTTTTCTATATGATTTTTTTCATGGTTCTTCGTTATACATGATTTAATAAGATTTATTTAATTACATTGTTTGAATTGTGGAATGATTATGAGTATCACTTGATTTTGAATGTGTCTATTGCATTGGTTGCATTGATTCCTTTGTCATTGGGAACCTTAAACTGCTTAGAGTTTTTGTTGACATGTGAATCGGAATATAAATGAACCAAAATAAATAATCAGCTGCAGCATGTATGTATTCTGCCCACTGGGAAAATCTATCTACAAGACCAAATTGATTGGTGATGCCTCTAGGGCAGATGGGAGGGAGGAGGAAGGAGGAAGAAGACCACAAGTCTGATTCCAGAACTCACAGGAAAAGCAGTAAAGGGTGAGACTGGGCTGCAGGACCACAGACAGCTCAGAGCAAGCACCTTTCTCCAACAAAAGAGGAGAGGAGACTGAGGCCTTCATGCCTTGCTGCCTTGTGAGAACTTCAGTGTAGCCAACCCACTAGCCTGAAGATGGGAGCTCCTCTTTCACTCCATAGCCTACCTCCTGGGGCTCTCCTGGACTGATGATGTGCAGCTGAAGGCATCTGGTTTCTTCTGGTGCAGGAAAAGATGTCCATGAGGGTCTAAGCTCTGGCTCTACAGGCCCTGGTGGTCCAGGAGGTTCTTCTGGGCATCCTTGTCCCACCACTTCAGACACACTGTTCTCCTTATCTTCCACTGCCATCTCTTAGCCCTAACCGGAACCCAGTTCCCTGTCTGGTGCCCCCACAGCATCTGATTCTGTGCCCAAATTGCTGCTGGATGCAGAGGTCACAGGGACACGGGTGGCGCTATGGGTAAAACCTCAGTGCCTAGGACTTGCCGATTGCATGGTCGGCAGTTCGAATCCCCGCGGCAGGGTGCGCTCCCGTCGTTCAGTCCCAGCGCCTGCCAACCTAGCAGTTCGAAAGCACCCCCGGGTGCAAGTAGATAAATAGGGACCGCTTTACCAGCGGGAAGGTAAACGGCGTTCCGTGTGCTGCGCTGGCTCGCCAGATGCAGCTTGTCACGCTGGCCACGTGACCCAGAAGTGTCTGCGGACAGCGCTGGCCCCGGCCTATAGAGTGAGATGAGCGCACAACCCTAGAGTCTGTCAAGACTGGCCCGTACGGGCAGGGGTACCTTTACCTTTACCTTACAGAGGTCACAGTGACAGCCAGGAAGTAACTCCAAGACTTCTTCATCTAAGAAAGCATCATCTGAGTCCATGTTCTTATTTCTAGGAGTCCCAGGCTGTGGACACAACAGTCGGCTGCCTTGGTTGCCTTTCGACACATTTATCTGCACTTTCTGGCTCTTTGGAAACCATCAACCCAGTTTGTTTTCTGTTGCTGTTGCAACCAGCCCACAGCAGAAGGAAGTGGCAGAATGGCAAGGAGGAGAGATGCTCAGAATGTGAGATTTTCCTTTCTACTCTTTCTATGAATACTCTCTCTCTCTCTCTCTCTCTCTCTCTCTGTGTGTGTGTGTGTGTGTGTGTGTGTGAGAGAGAGAGAGAGAGAGAGAGAGAGAGAGAGAGCGCTTTGTGGTTGCCTGATTCATTGTTTGTGTTAGCAGTGTTTCTGTTTCTGTCTGTCCCATTGTTAAGGATTTGAGTTAAGCGATTGTCTGATGTGTGCATCTGAACTGTATCTGTTAGGAACGTGTGACTGCATGTGTGCAGTTTTGGGGTGGTTATAAATGAAATCGCTTAGCTTCATTTAACATTATATATATATAATTCCACAAAGCAGCTTAGACCATACAAAATAAAACCAACACCAGGTTCTGGACACAAAAATACAAAAGTGTTGCAGAATACAATTTTTTAAATAAAAAATCAAAATGCATTTCAACTAAAGCATAAACCAATGTAAAAAGTAGGGTACATAAATAGATTGTAAAACATAGCACAGATCACCAAAAGCGTATTAAGACATAAATGCCAACAAAACCCAAAACTGTTCAAGACAGAGTGGAGCAGCACAGAGTCAACAAAACTGGTAGATGGCATAAAACATAATAGCATCTCCGTGAAAGACCTGGAGAAAGTCAAGCGTCTTCTGCGTACGAAGCTACGCAGCAAAGCTATTTATCTTTTGAACTATCCTGAGACCTGCAGGTATAGGGTGGTGTACAAAATAAAATAATAAAATAAAATAAAATAAAATAAAATAAAAAGTGCTAAGGCACACTTTAGTGCGGAAGGAGTTCTGCAGTTCAGGGGCTGCCACATAGAAAGGGGCTCACCCACACCACCCCCCACTGAGCTTCTGACAGTGGTGGAACTGCCAAGCGGGAATACAGGAAGACATCCCTTTCCTTTCTGCCTCGTCTTTATCGCCTGCACCACTGTTTCCGTTCCACTGCCATTCATCTACTGTCTCCCTGTCGCTTGCGTAACATTCATAATTGCATTAAGTCGTTACGTTTTCCCACCCCAATCCTTTCAATGCAGGAGGAAGGCAATGCAAATGAGGAAAGAACCGTAATCAGTTGCAAATCGTTTGTCCTGATTATATTCACTGGATTGCTCTCCATTCCAGACATGGGACAAAGAAGTGGAAGTCAGCAATTTTTTCTTCTGTCTCTGTCTCCATTGGCATTACAGTGGTACCTCGGGTTACATATGCTTCAGGTTACATACGCTTCAGGTTACAGACTCCGCTAACCCAGAAATAGTACCACGGGTTAAGAACTTTGCTTCAGGATGAGAACAGAAATCTCACGGCAGCGGTGCGGCAGCAGCGGGAGGCCCCATTAGCTAAAGTGGTGCTTCAGGTTAAGAACAGTTTCAGGTTAAGAACAGACCTCCAGAACGAATTAAGTACATACTGTATTTTTTGCTCTATAAGACGCACCTAGTTTTTGGAGGAGGGAAACAAGAAAGAAAAATATTCTGAATCTCAGAAGCCAGAACAACAAGAGGGATCTCTGCGCAGCGAAAGCAGCGATCCCTCTTGCTGTTCTGGCTTCTGGGATAGCTGCACAGCCTGCATTCGCTCCATAAGACACACACACATTTCCCCTTACTTTTTAGGAGGGAAAAAGTGAGTCTTATAGAGCAAAAAATACGGTAACCCGAGGTACGACTGTACTGGACATCCCTTCTGTCAAGAGGGCGCCCTCTGCTGACCTTAACACCTGGGAGGGTCTGTAGGGAAGGAGCCATCTTTCAGAAATTTGGGACCTCCGTCAGTTTCAACACTGAGTATAATGTATTGTGCCCAGAGACAAAGTTGCAACCAGTGCAGCCATTGCAAACCCCATGCTATGAGAGCTCAAGTGCCTCAGTGTTCCTCCACAATCCTCTTAATAGGCTGACTTGGTGTTACCTGCTCAGATAAACAAACATCATAGCAACAGCATCCCCTTTGCACCCCCCTTCAATTCTTCATACAAAAGGCCTTCCTTTCTCTGTATGCCGTGTGGTTCCAGTGTTCTGGAAAGGGGGTGCTGTTGAGGACAGGAAGCAGGAGTGAGAGCAGAGAAAGTTTTCAAAAACACTCTGCACATACTCAGAGGCAATGTCCACTGTAGGAAAACAAAAACAAAATTCCTTTGTCATTCAGTGCATTATCAGGGCATGATCCTGTCTGTCATCCTCCTCTGTCTAGTTCCGTCTATCGCTCAGTTGGGTTTCCAGTTGCTCCACAACAACATTCACATGACCTCAGTGAGCATTTCAGTTTCAAATATTCTGGTTATTTCTACTTTTAGTTAAGTGTTTTTTATTATTATTTACTTGATTTGGAGGGGAGCAACTGCCCCCTCCCCACGGCTATGCACATGGTTATTATTATTGTTGCATTTCTTGTACTGCCAGAACATGAAGAAATGCATGTGGAAATCTCTGCCTCATGTCTGACCAAAAGTACTGAATTTGGGGGGTGTCATTTGCTGATCTGTCTCAGGCAACAGAGTAGCTCGTAACAGCCTAACAAGGAACTCAAAGTTTAAAGAGGGTTTGAGGGTTTTTTTAAAAAGGGTCTAGTTAAGGTTACCAGACGTCCCTGTTTCCCGGGGACAGTCCCCGGATTTACAAATCAGTCCGCATACAAAATCCATTGAAGTTGAAAAGTGTCCCCGTATTCATTGGAAAAAAAATCTGGTAACCTTAGTCTAGATGGATGGTTAATTAAGTAAATACTGTATTGCTTTGATCATAAGCCATTACCCTTAAAATGAGATTTCTTAAATTATGGCTTCTCTAAGAGAGCCAATGTGGTATAGTGGTTTTAGTGTCAGACTAGGACTTGGGAAGGGACGTGGGTGGTGCTGTGGGTTAAACCACAGAGACTAGGACTTGCTGATCAAAAAGTCGGGGGTTCAAATCCCTGCAATGGGTGAGCTCCCGTTGCTTGGTCTCTGCTCCTGCCAACCTAGCAGTTCGAAAGCAAGTGCAAGTAGATAAATAGGTACCATTCTGGCGGGAAGGTACACGGCATTTCCGTGCGCTGCTCTGGTTCTCCAGAAGCGGCTTAGTCCTGCTGGCCACATGATCCGGAAGCTGTATGCCAGCTCCCTCGGTCAGTAAAGCGAGATGAGTGCCGCAACTCCAGAGTCGGCCACGACTGGACCTAATGGTCAGGGGTCCCCTTTACCTTACCTTTTAGGACTTGGGAGGTCAGAGTTCAAATCCTCCCACTTGGCCATGAACCTCACTGACTGTGTCCTTGGGGGGCATTGTGGCGATCACACAGGGTCCCCGGACGTTTAACAGTCTATTGATCCCTGTGATCGCCCTGTGATCGCTTCCCCACTGCCACCAACCAGTTACTCTCTGGTAAAACACTGAGTCCAGTCAGTTGTTAAAAGTGAACCAAAAAAACAAGTTTATTTTACAAACATTAACAAGTTTATGGTTTCTCAGATAATATTCCTGACAGTATCTTAACTTTAGTTTCTTTACTGACCTATACCTTCCTAATACCTTCTGACTAATTATCTCAACTGTTTGACTGACTCCTCTTGACAAATTATCTCCCTCTCACACCAGACTAGCCCAACCCATAGACTTCTCTGTCTCTTCTCACTCCAGACTGTCTTCTCAACAACTCTAACTCTCTAAAAAAACCTCTGTGCTTAAACCTTATACACAGTTAACTCTGCCCCCTGGTTTCCCATTAGTTAGTCATTTTACAATTAGTTAACCCTTTCCCTATGAACCTAGTATGATGTCACACACATAGGAGGGCAAACGGCACAGGCAGTCACAGCCTCTCAGTGCCTTGAGGGGGGTGTTATTGGGTTATTGTTCTTATTTTGATTTTATATTTCATGATCTTTTCTGTGAACCAGCCTGAGACCTCTGGTTATAGGGCGGTATATAAATTCTATAATATTATATAATCCGCTTCACAGGTTGAGTGACAAGAGGGAGAGCCACGTACTTCACCTTGAGCTCTTTGGCAAGAAAGTTGGGCTAGAAATACAATAAATGCAATAAATAAAATGAGAGTGCAACCCTTATCCATGGGTTGATTAGGAGGTAGGTGAGGTTGTGGCTTAATACTCTCACCATTTTGTAACCTGCTTTTTATTTTATTTTTTTAAAAAACGTGTTAATAATTTTATAAGCATTAAGTGGCCCCCAAACAGATGAAACACTCACATTGCTATATCAAGTCACCTTCCTTTCATTCAGTTCCACACTCATCTCACCTGCTCATGCCCAACTTTGGGGACGTTCCTCATTGTCTGTTGTGATGCAGGAGAGTGCTGGTTCTCTGGAATTGTGGAGGCAATCTCTGCAGAGTGTAAAATGAAACATGTTTTTTGCTTATTAGGCAGATGTATATGCTGCTCAACTTAAAATTACCTATGTAGTGTCACAGGAACACCCCTCCCCCCAATCATTCAGTTTGTACAAACTTTACACACACTCACATACTACATACGCTACACTTCTGTTATAAATTCATAGAAAATCAACCATACATCGGATTTGCACTGTTCCACTTTTATTTTACTCCATGAAGGAAGGACTACAAAATGGGGAATGTTTGATACAGGGCAGCCATAATCCCTTGAGCATACCAGCACATACACAGGAGCCCTGCCCAGTTGCTATGCCAACCCTGATGGTCCTAGACAGAAGATCATCAAGATCACAAAGAACTTGCATATGGGAGTGGATTCAGCACAGACTGGAACAAAGGACAATGATCAGCTCTTCCTTCTGGGGGCAGGAAACTGCAAACTCCCCTCTGTCACCTGGAAAGTATTCATGGGGAGGGGGAAAGGGGGAACCAGCCAGGTGACAGGACACTCAGGTTACCACCACAACTCCTCCCTCAACCCCTCCTTTCTGTGATGAAGGTGTGATGTATCTGAGGGGTGGTCTTAGGTTACACCCCTTCTGTGATGTATGTATGATGTTTCAGGGGGGTGGTCTTGATCTACAGGGTGGCAATTTCAAAAGTCTTTATAAGACCTGGCACACCATATTTCTGGGTCCTTCCTCTCTCCTGCAAGTGAGGGGAGCACCCTGTTGCAACAGATCAATAAAGGCCAAGCCTACAGGCTGCTGTTTTGCTCCAAGTTATCCTGGTTGGTGTCTTTGTTTTTGTCCAAGGGAGCCCTCGATTTTTTCCGTTAACAGTAGTATATGACATTTTTAGAAACAATATATCATTCAGTATAAAAATTCAAATAAACAGCAACTAAGATCACAGTGTGAAGAAATAAGAGTAACACATTTGTGAAAAGACTTATATGATTTATATTAACAGGGAGGAAATTCCATAGTCACAGATTAACAGAGATGTTCCTACCTCTTTTTAAATATGTATTTCCTCTTCCATATTATTACAGAACATGCCAGAGTTAAAATGAAGCTGATGGGAAGGCAGATCATCCACCAGAGTCTCTGCTGACTACCTGTAAGAGTCCGTTGAGATATAGCACAATAGCAAAATGTAAGGTTAAGTTGGCAAAGATATACAAATTGAAATCCAACCACGGTTGGAGATGGGGTGGAGAAATAGGAACACCAATACATATGTGGTGGAGGTGTGAGGAAATTAAGAAATTGTGGATAGTAGTACACAAAGAAGGGACGCGGGTGGCGCTGTGGGTAAAAGCCTCAGCGCCTAGGGCTTGCTGATCGAAAGGTCGGCGGTTCGATTCCCCGTGGCGGGGTGAGCTCCCGTTGCTCGGTCCCAGCGCCTGCCAACCTAGCAGTTCGAAAGCACCCCCGGGTGCAAGTAGATAAATAGGGACCGCTTACTAGCGGGAAGGTAAACGGCATTTCCGTGTGCGGTTCTGGCTCGCCAGAGCAGCGATGTCACGCTGGCCACGTGACCCAGAAGTGTCTCTGGACAGCGCTGGCCCCCGGCCTCTTGAGTGAGATGGGCGCACAACCCTAGAGTCTGTCAAGACTGGCCCGTACGGGCAGGGGTACCTTTACCTTTACCTTTAGTACACAAAGAATGGGATGCGGGTGGCGCTGTGGGTTAAACCAATAAAGCAAGATGAGCGCCGCAACCCCAGAGTCAGTCACGACTGGACCTAATGGTCAGGGGTCCCTTTACCTTTACCTTACACAAAGAACTAATGTTGAAAATATCAATAACAAAGAAACCTGAGACATATCTCCTTGGATTGATAGATGAAGAGATACCACGAGGGGGGGAAGAATTTTTCTATATACAAGTACAGCTGCTAGAATAGTGATTGCTGCTAGGTGGAAGTCACAAATTATACCCACAAAGGAGGAATGGATTTGTAAACGAAATGAATATTTAATTTTGGCAAAATTAACTGCTATAATAATAAATCAGTCAAATAAAAAATTAAAGAAGGAGTGGAAATGTTTTGATGAATATATGGCAAAATATTGGTCAAAAAAGGCTATGCTAATATGCCTAGATTAAAATGTGAAGTACTGGATGGAAGAAAAATTAGTAAGGGAATATATAGATGATTTGAGAAGGTTGTAGACTGCAAAGATTATTGTAAATTGTATAATGTGGAGGAAATCGAGGGGGGTGGAGGGAAGTGGGAGGAAGGAGAAAAGAATAATATGATGGATTAAGGAAATAGAAATGTACCGGTAAATGTATGGGGGGATGGGGAGGAAATGGTGTTGGTTTTGGTACATCTGTATTGTAGTGTAATATGTGAAAACCAATTTAAAAAAAAAGGAAAAGGGGGAATGCAAAAAAATAAATAAATAGCAAACTGTGATGTGGATTAGTGACTGGCTCAAGGTCACACAGTGAGCTTCATGGCCATGTAGGGATTTGAACCTGGGTCTCTCAGATCCAACACTCTAACCACTACACCACACTGGCTCTATGCCAACAAGTTCCACTTTTATAGACTTAATTCGAGGTTTCCCTGGGTTACTCTGGCACAGAATTTTAGTCTGGGTTTCATCCTCTGCCCTCTTCTGTGGATATCAGGAAGCAATGAGATTAAAGCGGGGGAGGGGTGTGACTCCAAAGAGGCATCAGGGGAGCGGAAGGCGACCTGTGGCCCTCCCAGTGCTGTTGGACTCCATCATCCTCAGCAGCCAGCAGGTCAGGGATAATGGGACCTTGGGTATCCAGTAATATCTGGGGGATTCCACTCAGACTGCCCCTGCATTAGAGGCTCAACAGGGTAGAATCCATAGGGTTGGACAGAGAGTGAGTCAGGCTTAGAAAATAAATCTTAAAAGCACTGTCACCCAATTTAGTCATGACTACCTAAAAGCTCATTGGTCTCATGGGTTTACTCTAAGGGTGACTAAAGTGCAGATTCAAACTTTATGATCGGGAGATCATCCTTTAATCTGGGATACACATTCATCTCCATGGTAGGAATAGCACGTAAACCAGAGTCTTGAAGATATCCGTCATAGGAAGCTGCCCTGTACTGACTCAGACCATTGGGTCTATCTAGCTTAATATGGCCTACACTGACTGGTAGAGACTCCCCAGGTTTAGGGTAGGGGACAAGACTGAAGTACTGTTTTGGGGGGGACAGGGGGCAGGTGGGTGTGGGGGACTCCCTGGTCCTGAATGGGGTAACTGTGCCCCTGAAGGACCAGGTGTGCAGCCTGGGAGTCATTTTGGACTCACAGCTGTCCATGGAGGCACAGGTCAATTCTGCGTCCAGGGCAGCTGTCTACCAGCTCCATCTGGTACACAGGATGAGACCCTTCCTGCCCGCAGACTGTCTTGCCAGAGTGACGCATGCTCTAGTTATCTCCCGCTTGGACTACTCCAATGCACTCTCCGTGGGGCTACCTTTGAAGGTGACCCAGAAAATACAACTAATCCAGAATGTGGCAGCCAGACTGGTGACTGGAAATGGCAACTGATACCACATAACACCGGTCTTGAAAGACCTACATTGGGTCCCAGTACATTTCCAAGCAAATTCAAAGTGTTGGTGCTGACCTTGAAAGCCCTAAAAGGCCTCGGCCAAGTATACCTGAAGGAGCATCTCCACTCCCATTGTTCTGCCCAGACACTGAGGTCCAGCTCCGAGGGCCTTCTGGAGGTTCTCTCACTGCAAGAAGCAAAGTTACAGGGAACCAGGCAGAGGGCCTTCTTGGTAGTGACACGCACCCTGTGGAACACCCTCCCATCAGATGTCAAAGAAATGAACAACTATCTGAAGTTTAGAAGACATCTGAAGGCAGCCCTGTTTAGGGAAGTTTTTAATGACTGATGTTTTAATGTATTTTTAATCTTTTGTTGAAAGCCACCAAGGATGGCTGGGGAAACGCAGCCAGATAGGCGTGGTATAAATAATAGATATTATTATTATTATTCCTAGCCCTGCCTGAAGATTCCAAAGGGATTGGACCTGAGACCTTCTTGCAAACAAAGCAGGGGCTCTACCACTGTAAAGGTAAAGGGACCCCTGACCATTAAGTCCAGCCTTGGCCGACTCTGGGGTTGCGGCGCTCATCTCGCTTTATTGGCCGAGGAAGCCGGCGTACAGCTTCCGGGTTATGTGGCCAGCAGGACTAAGCCGCTTCTGGCGAACCCGAGCAGTGCAGGGAAATGCCGTTTACCTTCCCGCCGGAGCGGTACCTATTTATCTACTTGCACTTTGACATCCTTTCGAACTGCTAGGTTGGCAGGAGCAACGACGGAGCAATGGGAGCTCACCCCGTCGCGGGGATTTGAACCACCAACCTTCTGATCAGCAAGTCCTAGGCTCTGTGGTTTAACCCACAGCGCCACCCGCGTCCCTCTACCTCTTAATTCTAAAAACACATCCTCTTCTTAGATTTCCAAATTCTTGTGGCTGGGAGTCCCACTCCTCAAAGATAATGAATGGACCCTCCACTGCTGCCTTGTCCCTACCCCAATATATTCACAACCCCCAGCAGTGATATTGGGGTGATGGGGTAAAGGGGTGCAATGCATCCTTTGGAGGAAGATGCAATAAATTACTGACCTTCATCATCAGTTTGGCAGATGCTGAGCAAGTTGAAGGAGACGTCCTTCTCTCCAATGGGATTTCTGACCAGGCAGGTGAAAGTGGAGTCGCTGGCGTTGGGCCACCACAACAAATGGAGACTGGTGCCATTGTCAGAGATCTGGTACCCGACCAAGCCATCTCCTAAGTCTCTGAGGGGTTCCCCTCTTTTCCAGGAGATGTCAAATTCCCCCTTTCCAGACACCTGACATTGCAGGGTTACATCACATATGCCTGAGCTGTTGGAGACGTCTCTGAGGAGAATCTGAAGTTCTGGCACAGGCTCTGTTTGAAGAGAAATGGGAAAGATGTGATATTTGCACCTTATGCCTGTCAGAAACCAGCAAAATGCTGTCAATCCTATTCCATTATAATAAAATACAAGAGTCATGTAGTCCAGTTGCTTGCAATGCAGGCATCACAGCTAAATAATCCCCGGAAGATGACCATCTAACCTCTGCTTAAATACCTCCAAGGAAGGGGAGTCCACCATCTTCTGAGGCAGTCTATTCCACCGCCAAGCAGCTCTTACAGCCAGAAAGTTCTTCCTAAGATTTAGTAGAAATCTCCTTTCTTATCATTTAAATTCATTGGTTTGGGACCTACCATCTTGAGCAGCAGAGAACAAGCTTGTTCCAGATTCCATGTGACAGCCCTTCAAATATTTGAAGATAGCTGTCATATCACCTCTCAGCATGGGCGTAGCCAGGATTTTTATTGGGGGGGGCACTTTTGTTAGGGAGGCAGAACCAACATGATAGATCAGTTAGTTAAGTATTTCTATTGTTTTACTTTCTATGTGGGGCAGCTGCCCCCTTGCCCCCACCACCTTTGCTACACCCATGACTCTCAGCCTCTTCTTTCTTTCTTTCTTTCTTTCTTTCTTTCTTTCTTTCTTTCTTTCTTTCTTTCTTTCTTTCTTTCTTCTTCTTCTTCTTCTTCTTCTTCTTCTTCTTCTTCTTCTTCTTCTTCTTCTTCTTCTTCTTTCCCCGCCCATCTGGCTGGGTTTCCCCAGCCACTCTGGGCAGCTTCCAACAAAATATTAAAATACAATGGTCCATCAAATATTAAAAGCTTCCCTAAACAGGGCTGCCTTCTAAAAGTCAGGTAGCTGTTTATTTCCTTGACATCTGGTGGGAGGGCATTCCACAGGGCAGGTGCCACCACCGAGAAGGCCCTCTGCCTGGTTACCTGTAAACTTGATTCTCGCAGTCAGGGGACCTCCAGAAGGCCCTCAGAGCTGGACCTCAGTGTCTGGGCAGAATGATGGGGGTGGAGATGCTCCTTCAGGCTAAAGACACCCAGCTCCCTTGACTTTCCCCTTTATCATCTGTGTAGCTCTCCTCTGCATTCAGACAGTGAAAGTAGTTACTTACCATAGACCATGAGGCTGAAACTCTGTTCTTGAAACTGTGCCTTAGTAAACCAGATGCGAGCATTGTAGATCCCACCGTCATCCAACTCCAGGTCTTTGATCCTCAGTGTCATCTCGTCCACCATGTCTAGCCGTTGTCGAAACCGGTCAGTGGGACTTGGGTGCTCCAGTTTACCATGGCTGAATTCCCCCAGCCAAAAGCCCAGGCCACCGCTTTGTGGGTAAAAGTCCCATTCCATTTTCTCCACTGTTACTGATGAGGATACATTTACAGCAAACAAGACTGATTCGCCCAGGATTCCTTTCACCTGATAGATTGGATTCTCCATTCCATGACTTAAACTTCCTATTTGGGGTGGGTGAGAGAGGGGAGAAATAGGTGAAGAAATACTGAAATAGCTTTGAGCCAATTTGGAAGATAAAAAAGACCTAGAGCTACCTTGCATGTCTACTCAGAAGCAAGCCGTAGTGAATCTAATGGGCATACTCTGCGGCAAGCGGGTTTAGCATCACCCCTTCCACATTGCAGTTAGCCTGCAATAAAAACTACCAAGTTTAAAACAGAAGGCACGCTTTAAGTTCAATTTTGGTGGTGGTGGTTTAGACCCCTCTGATGTGATCAGCCTTGAAATAATCCTTCTATTCCTGGTGGCAGGGAAATAAGAGGGCTGGGAAGACATAGCTAGATCTGTGCTGCAATTAGGCTATGGGAAGACATATGTTGGATACATTGGGAAGCTGCTCTAAATTAAAGTTACCAGACATTCCCATTTCCTGGGGACAGTCCCTGGATTTACAAATCAATCCCCTGACAAAATCCATTGAAGTTGAAAAGTGTCCCCAGATCCATTGAAAAAGGTCTGGTAACCTTACTCTAAATCCTATTTTTGGGAGGGTTAGGGATGGAAGAGGGCCCTTGCAGGCAAATATACAGACACACACCCCACACATATACTACAGCATGGGTAGGCAAGCTAAGGCCCGGGGGCCGGATTCAGCCCAATCGCCTTCTCAATCCGGCCTGCAGATGGTCTGGGAATCAGTGTGTTTTTTACATGAATAGAATGTGTCCTTTTATTTAAAGTGCATTTCTGGATTAGTTGTGGGGCATAGGAATTCGTTCATTATTTTTTCCCCAAAAATATAGTCCTGCCCCCCCCACAAAGTCTGAGGGACAATGGACTGACCCCCTGCTGAGAAGGTTTGCTGACCCCTGCACTATAGTAATGACCTGTGGGGTACAATACAGCTTTTTTGGAGGGTAGGTTCCCAGGGCATGTGGTGAAGCCTTTTTTGAGCAAGTGCCCCTATACCTTCTGAGAACTCTGATTCAGACTAGAAGCTTGAAGCATTTGAGGAAGAGGACTTTGAATGGGAGGAAGTGGGAGCTGAGATTATGGAATAGAGCCACCCCTTCCTTGCTCCCCACATATCCTGAGGAGGCAGGAAACCCAGAGGCTGCTTCTTTCCTGCCCAGGGGGAATGAGCAGGGCACAGAGGAGCTATTCCAGAAAGCGGGAGGACATAGAAGGGGATGTGTACTTGGTGATGCTTGCAATGAGAAGGTGGCTCACCAAGAGAAATGTTTAGACTCAACACTGGCTAAGAGGAGTGCCCACCTTCAGGTCAGGGACTCCAGCAAGGGACAGGGATTTCTGTCAATAGCTGGAAGATTCTCCACCTCCATATAATAGCTTAGCAGGTGAGTGGGGGAAATCCTTCGGGACTCCCATGCAGGCTCAGAACTCTCGCTAGAAATCCCAAACTCCTGAATCTCATTCCTTGCACCAGAACCAGACGGATCCTTGCTGATTCTTTTTTTGCCTTGTGGGAAACATAAGGCTGGATTCTCCTCTTTCAATGCAGCTGAGTTTAAAAACAGCCACGACAGTGGGATCTATCGGCTTGTTTCTCTTGCGTATTTAGCAGATTAATTGTGCTGCAGAAAGCGTGCTGGGGAGACCACAGGTTCAGGAAACAACGAAGAAAAGCAAAAATAACTTTTGCTTGGCTTTAATTACAAAAACTCCTCTTACATTAAATTACATTACATCTATAAGTATGACCCATTCACCAGGGTACTGAGAGAGGTACGCACTGCTCTTTATATACACTCTCTCTCTCTCTCTCTCTCTCTCTCTCTATATATATATATATATATACACACATATATATACTTTATATCCTCCAACTGCTGACACAGCTTAATTAACACAACTTAACAGCATCTGCTATACTGCTTCACAGCTCTAAAACTAAGTCGTGATATTTGCTCTGGCCTTTAAAGAGATACACATCTTCTGAAACAATAAGGAACCTTAATATTTAAAGAAACCATTCAGCAGTTTCTTGGCTTGCTGTGGGTCTCATGGTGGTCTTGGGCAGAGGCCAGGACGTCTAAGCAGCATTTTGAACTTCAGGGCAGAGAAATGAAGTGGGAAATGGCACCAGCCTCCCCTTGGCCAATTATTTCCCCTTCACAAAAGACGGCATTCTCCCCCCGGCATTTGCAAAGAGTTCCCTCCCTCTCCGAAGGACTTACCAAATGAAGTACAGATCCATGGAGCGAAGAGAAGGATGACCAGGAGGCTTCTGCTGGCAACTTCCACCATCATTTTGGCCAGGAGCGAAGAGAGCTTTGTTTTCAGCCCAATGCCTTTCTTACAAGGGCTCGCCCACACTTCCTCTTGTCCTGCGCCTAGAAAGGCGGGGTCTCAGCGGTTTCCCACTTGCGCGTTCCTTTCCCAGGTAATTCGCACTCTATAGCTCTAAATCAGAACAAACGGCCACCCCCAGAAACCCCGATTGTTGCTTGCCCCGATTGAGTGCTCAGGCGCAGTCTTTCTTCTCCTCTAGAAGATGAGAGCCTGGTAAGGTCCAAAAGAGTCTTCTGATGCTACTTCTTGTCGTAAGAGATTGTGCCATTTGCATGCCCGGAGTTATCAGTGGCACCATTTCAGCCTGAGCCAGGCTTTTAAAACCGGATCGCCGCATCCCAACTTGAGTCATTATGCATTTGGCACAGCACAGGGGATTTTTAAAAATATCCCGCATGCAGGGCTGGCCCGGGACTCTTTGCCCCTATAAATAAACCTATGCCCCCTCTCGCCGCAAATTCCTGCCTACACCGCCGCTGACCGCTCACTACCCAGTGCTCAGCGCTAGAAGTTGCTCTCTGCCGCCGTCTCCTGCTCCTCGTCCGCTGCGCCCTCTCCAGCGTACACAGGACATATTAAAAGCGAGGTACGGTAGTGGCTGGCCCGTGACGCTTTGCCCCTTTAAATAAATCTATGCCCCATCCAGCCCAAAAATCCTGCCCCACGCCGTCGCTGGCCACTCACTGTCCAGTGCTCAGCGCTAGAAGATGCTCTCTGCCGCTGTCTCCTGCTCCTCCTCCGCTGCGCCCAAGATGTATTAAAAGCGAGGTAATTTGAGGCAGGAAGAAAGCGGGTGGCGAGGAGGCGAGGCTGCTGCCGCTGCTGGACCGGGATGCCGGCGCTGGGCTAAATCCGAGACCCCCCGAAAAATCCTCCCTTCCCCCTCAGCGCATTTTCCCCTCCCAGGCAGGACTTGGAGGAGCCTCTTCAGGATTTATGGTGGGTGGGGCAGAACCTCAGTTAAGCATTTGTATTGATTTACTTATTTGGGAGGCAGCTGCCCCCCTTGGCTACACCCACGCCCGCTTTCCAGACGGTGTTTTTATTTTCCTTCTCCATCCCCGCTCTTTCTTTCAAGATCCTGGTCTCGTTCCCTCTCTTCCTCCCTCTCTTCTTTGCTTATTTTTTTCCTTTCTTTCCTCTGCAATTCCTCGCCGGTCTCTCTCGTCTTCGTTTGCATCTCATCTTTCTTTCTGTCTTTCCTTCTTTCCTCTCTCCTCTATCTGCTTCCCCTCTTTTCCCATTTCGTCACCCTTTTCTCTCCCGCCTGTCGCATTCTAGCGCCTCCCTTTTCCCTTTTATACACGCGCGCAGCCGCCTGAATGAATTTTTAGTGTCCCAGGACAACGTTTCCCTCTCCGCCACGGACATTTGTGCGCTTGGCGGAATTTTCTTGAACGCGTCTGCTGCATTTGGTATTCTGCGTTCAGTCTTGCTTGCTGGATTCCATTGTTTCCTTGCCTGGAAGCCGCCCAGAGAAGATATTTCTATTGCTAATAAAGGAATCCAGTAAGTTACCATACGTCTCTCTCTTCTCCATGGTTTTATGTATGTGCATATATTTTTCTTTAATGTGAAGCTCGCTTGGAGACCTTTGGGTGACAAGCAACCAGCAAGATAAATAAATAAATAAGATGATAAGAAATTAGCTTAAAATTTTGCTCTGCTTTTATTAGAACATGATGTTTTGAGAAACAGCTGCAAAACAGCAGCCTTGATCAAAAACAGTGTGAGGCTGATCAGAGATAAGGGCTCCTTCTAAGAATTTAGTGGCTCAACTGAGCACAACTTTCCCTCTTCTTTTAGTTATGGGGTATAGCTAAAAAAATAAATAAAATGGTTACTACCGAAGGAAACTGTAAGCAAAAATCAGGCTGTTGCTTTTTTAAAGCGTGTGCCTTCAGATCAATATAGAAGGCTGCTGTTTTGCTGTTTTGCACGGGGTTCTGTCAAGAATATTGCCCACTGTTCGGTCCTGAAACTTCTCTCTCAGTCTGGATAGTATTCAACAAAACTCCACAAAGCTCTCATACGTAGACTTATTGAAGATAATCAAAGCACATGTAGAAATATTACTCACATTCCAATGGGTTGTTCTTTGGCTCTGAATGAAGATGGTTAGAAGTATTTTATGAAGTTCTCTAAGGAGTTCTGTAAGAACAAATGAGCTTGCCCCTCTTTCAGCGTATGCAAGAACTAGACTGAAACTAGATTGCAAAGGGGGAAGGGAGGTTTCTTTCCCTCTGGTCAGAGCCAATAGAAACTAGAATATTTCCCAACCTGCCTCGATGTCTAAAAGGGGGGGGAGGCAGCGTCTTTTCTTAAAAGGGCAGCATTGTTATTCCTTCTGCCTAATGCTAATACACAGATTTGCTATCACTAAATAACTGACCCTGGTGGGGGCAGAACGCCCATCAAATCCTAGCCTACTTTCAAGATATATAGCATATCTACTGTACATGAAGGTGGATAATTTGATGTATTATACATATGAATTTGCACTTAAGCACTCTGTCATGGAATTCTATTCAATATAGATCCAGAACAGATTCCAGCGTATAGTTAGCAGAGTGAAAACTTTAACACATTGCAGGATTCCCAAAAAATAGACCAGAGATAATTAATACACACACACATTTTTATTAATTTTTTAAACATATCATTTCCAACAGTCATTTAACATACATTCTTATCTTATACAATATTTTAGACTTCTGTCAACTACCTCTGAAGATTTTCCATTCTTTATCACTTTATCTGCATTTCTTAATTTCTCTATTACTTTTAATTGTCCTTAACTAATATTCTCTTCATAGTCTTCCTTGCAATATTTCGCATAATCCTCCTTACAAAATGTCTTGCAGTCCTACTAGCGTAATCTCTTTATTACAATTGCTTTTCAGATAGTTCAAATATTTACTCCAGTCCTTGAAGAATCTCTGGTCCCACAAGTTTTTGAATCCTTACTTTCAGTTTATTTAATTCTGCATAGTCCATTAATTTGATTTGCAACTCTTCTTTCATCGGTAATTCTTCTTGTTTCCATTTTTGTGCCAATAATATTCTTGCTGCTGTTGTTGCATATAAAAACTATTTACAATTTTGTCTATTAATATCATCCCCTACAATGCCAAGTAAAAATGCTACTGGTTTTTTAATAAATGTATATTTCAACATCTTTTTCATCTTATTATATATCATTTCCCAGAAGTTTTTTTACTTTCTTACATTCCCAACACATGTGGTAAAAAGATCCTTCATTTTCTTTACATTTCCAAATGTTGGCGACAATTAATATTTCATCCAGCAGAGCTTTACTGCTTCCGAAGGCAAATGAGCAGAATGGTCACAAATCCAATACATTCAGGATTGGCTCTGTCCATAAGAAATCCAGTTGCAGTAGACTTAACTTAAACTTACAATAACTTACGGTAAGTCTAACTTACAGTTATTGTATTGTAGTGTATTATTATTATTATTATTATTATTATTATTATTATTAACACTATATACATAATACCACATCAGAAATAAAGATAGAAAAGAAGTGAAACCCAGGCTCTGTCTGGCCTTACTATTATAATCAGCATGACTTTGACAGAAAGAGATAAAAGAACCAGTTTAAGCAAGCTGTGCTCAGCTTCTCTGAAGGAATAACCCAAACATCACGAACCTTGTGCTTGCTTCTTTCACACAGAGAAGCTTCCAGAACCCTCTTGAATAATTAGAACAGGAAAGATCTCTACTCATCAGATCAATACTTTTGGTATTATGAAATCAAACTGATACACTCTCCCCTCCTGCAGGTTGCAGCAACTTGTATTCTGAAGCATTATTACCTTTGACCACGGATGCAGAGCATAGCCATCCTGGCTAGTAGCCAACCACTTCTCTCAGATGATTTGTTTCATAGAATCATAGAATTGAAGAGATGGAAGGGATCTTGAGGGTCATCTGGTCCAACCCCCTGCAATGGTGTTTCAAGGTGATAGATAAATGAACTCTGTTCCGGTGCGTTCTGGCTTGGAAAAAAGAAGAAGCCCTGACTACTCCTAGTAGTACTAACAAATGTTAAAAAATAATGCCATAGTATTATGTAACTTCCAAACATCTCATCTGGTCCTCCAGCCTTCCTTACTGTGCATGTTCATCTCAGTAGGTCATCACCATCTTTTCGTGGGTCTCCTCTGAGGAAGGGCGCAGGAGAGGCCTCTTGAGCTTGCATCGCAGAAGCAGCATCTATTAAAAAACAGTAGTGCATGAAACATTAAAAGCGTCCCTAAACAGGGCTGCCTTCAGATGTCTTCTAAAAGTCAGATAGTTGTTTATTTCTTTGACATCTGGTGGGAGGGCATTCCACAGGGCGGGCACCACCACCGAGAAGGCCCTCTGCCTGGTTCCCTGTAACTTGGCTTCTCACAGGGAGGGGACCTCCAGAAGGCCTTTGGTGCTGCACCTCAGTGTCCGGGCAGAATGATGGGGGTGGAGATGCTCCTTCAGGTCTACTGGGCCGAGGCCGTTTAGAGCTTTCAAGGTCAGCACCAACACTTTGAATTGTTCTTGGAAACATACTCTCAAGAGGAGCAAGGGAGAGGCAGGCACACATTTGGCAGTCAGCCTCAATCCCAGGTGATTAAGGAGATTAACAGAGATGGTTCTACCTTTCTTCTTTCCCAGCTTCTTCTTCTTCCATATCATTATCAAACATGCAGAAGTTCCAACAGCACAGACGAGAAGCGGCAGGATCCCCCAGTACTTTTGTTGTCCACCTGCAACAAGCAATAAGAGACTCTTGGAACGCACTGCAATAACAGCCACCAAAGGGACCTCCTGTATGTGACTAAGAGAAGCAGAACAAATACTTCTATTTACACAAATTGAATGAGCCATCAAAACTATTGCACACCTCAATTTTCAAAACCTTGAAACCCAAAAAGTATTTGCTGGCAAATGTAAATGCACCATCAAATCTAATGTGCACCCTAATTTTCATGATGTAATTTGGCAAAAAAAAAGAGATGTACATTACAAAGGTAAAGGACCCCTGGCATTTAAGTCCAGTCGCAGACTGGGGTTACGGCTTGCTTTTCTGGCTGAGGGAGCCGACGTCTGTCTGAAGACAGTTTTTCCGGGTCATGTGATTCACTGTAGCAGGAATAGCAAGCAAAGCACCTGAGTCCTGCTGGGGATTCTGGGAGTCCCATTGCAGGGAGAAGATGTTCTAAGAATAGCATGGCTCTCCAGATACCATTGCTGCTTTCACTTTTGTGGGTCCCGGGGCAGTTTCTCAGCCTAGGAATCAAAGAGGAAATCAAAGCAGCAGGAGATCTTAGTTGGTAGAGCATGAGACTCTTAATCTGAGGAGCAGCAACTCATAGGGTCAAGCGTAGTCTGCAAGCAGAGCTGTGTTGGCCCGAACCTGCTAAAAGCTTGCAAGGAAGGAGGAGTGTTTGCTTATACAATCCCTGTCTTGAGGGACTGTCTGAGTATTCACCACTCCCAGCAGAACCAGTGGGTTATGAAAGGGATGATACATTTCTTACCTTCCCCACTTGCACAGATTTTGAGCAAGTCAAATGAGGCACGGTTTTGATCAACAGGATTGCTGACCAGGCAAGTGAATGTGGAGTCAGAAGAGCTTTTTCGCCAGGAGATGCGGAGATTCCTTCCATTGTCAGAAAGCCAGTACTTATCCAAACCTCCTACTAAGACCCTGGGGGGATTCCCTCTTTCCAGGAGATAGTGTACTCCTCCTTTACAGGTGCCTGGCACTGTAAGGACACAGTGCAGCCTTCTGGAGTCTTGGATTGTACTCTATGTTGTATCCATGGTCTTGGCACTGGCTCTGTTTTAACAGAAATGAAAGTGATTAAGTGTCAGGGATGTGGCTGAACTGAATGCCTAGGAAGAGTCTGACTCTGGAGATGAAGGGATGCCAGTACAGAGGGAGCCAGAGCCTGACTCTGGAGACGAGGGGTTGCAGCCACAGACAGAGCAGGAGTGGGTTAGTTGTGCACCACTTCATCAAGAATTCCCAGACTCAGATAGAGCAGCAGACCCAGAGAACTCACAGACAGAGGGAGGGGAGGAGATAGATGACATTGAGGGGGTTGCTATGCAACCAGGAGGCAAGAAACATTTAGAGGGATCTGTTTTATAGTGGGAGGGGGTGTTCACCCACCTCTTCCCCAAACCAGAAGAGCTGGAAATGTTAAAATACAACAGAAGTACAAGAGAGGAAGGACTGGACTTTGGCATCCTTCTTGTTGCGATAGGGGCGGAGACTCAGAGTGACCAACTCGTAGCAAAGAGCAGCAGGCTCGGAGCCACGCTCAGCAAGTTAATTGCAAATAAACGTACCATAAAATTGCCAGAGACTCATGAATTCTTATCAGGGCTTCCTTGCCTGCCTGAGATCATTACATTAGGAGTTCGTGCCCCACATGCCTCTTGGTAACTGTGTACGGCACGGGTGGGGGCTTTTGGGCCCAGAGGCCAAATATGTCCCTCCAAGCATCTCTATCTGGCCCTCAGGACTCTCTCCCAGAGTCCTTTCCCAGAGCCACATATCTTTCCCAGACATACTCCCCTCACTGGCCTTGAGTCACACCCTACTTGAGTTCTTTTGTCTGGCTGAAAATAATTATTACTGAATCTTGATGATGCTCCTTGCTTCCTGGATGGAGGGTGGGGGTTGCACACATGTGAAGAAACTAGCATATTGTAGAACAGTAACATTCAGACTCAATGTCCCACACACTTATTTCCTCTGAGTTTGTGCCCCACTGGCATGTGGGCCCCTGGAATGTTGCCTAGGTGAGAATGTGGCCCTCAGGATGAAAAAGGTTCCCCATCATATTTCATGATCTTCCCATTCTATTGCTCAGCTCCACTACAAACTGACAAAGATGGTGAAATCATTACTTGCCATAAACAGTGAGGATGAAGTGGTTTTCTCGGAACAGCACAGAGTTAATCCAGGTACGAGCTTCATAGAGCCCACCGTGCTCCATTGTCAGGTTCTTGATGCTCAAATACCTCACAAAGGAAGGGAGTCCATCCATCTTCTGAGCAGTCCTATTCCACCGCCATATGCAGACCTTTACAGCCAGCAAAGTTCTTCCTAAGAATTTAGTAGAAATCTCCTTTCTTATCAATTTAAAATTCATTGGTTTTGGGACCTACCAATCTTGACAGCAGAGAACAAGCATGTTCCAAGATTCCATCGTGACAAGCCCTTTCAAAATATTTGTAAGATAAGCTGTCATATCACCTCTCAAAGCTATGCGCGTAGCCAGGATTCTTTATTGAGGGGGCACTTTTGTTAGGGAGTCAGAAACCCAACATGATAGATCAGTTAGTTAAGTATTTCTATTGTTTTACTTTCTATTGCTGGTGCCAGCTGCCCCCTTGCCCCCACCATCCTTTTGCTTACACCACATGACTCTCAGCCTTCTTTTCTTTCTTTCTTTCTTTCTTTCCTTTACTTCTTCTTTTCTTTCTTTATTCTTTCTTTCTTCTTTCTTTTCTTTCTTCTTCTTCTTCTCTTCCTTCTTCTTCTTCTTCTTCTTCTTCTTCTTCTTCTTCCAATTCTTTTCCCCGCCATCTCTGGCTGGGTTTCCCCAAGCCACTCTGGCAGCTATCCAAACAAACAATTACAATACCAATGGTCCATTCAAATATTAAAAGCTTCCCTAAACAGGCTGCCTCTCTAAAAGTCAGGTAGCTGTTTTATTTCCTTGACATCTGGTGTGAGGAGCATTCCAACAGGGCAGGTGCCCAACCACACGAGAAGGCCCTCCTGCCTGGTTACCTGTAAACTTGATTCTCGCAGTCAGGGACCCTCCAGAAGGCAACCTCAGAAGCTGAACCTCAGTGTCCTGGGCAGAATGATGGGAGTGGAAGATATGCTATCCTTCAGGCTAAAAAAGACCACCCCATCAGCTCCCTTGACTTTCCCCTTTAATCATCTGTGATAGCTCTCTCTCATGCATTCATGTACAGTGAAAAGTAGTCTACTTACCCATAGACCATAGAAGCTGCCAAACTCCTGTCTTGAAACTGTGCCTTAGTAAAACCAGCTATGCGACATTGTAATCCCAACCGTCATCCAACTCCAGGTCTTTGATCCTCAGTGTCATCATCGTCCACCATGTCTAGCCGTTGATCGAAACCCGGTCACTGGACCTTGGGTCTCCCAGTTTACCATGCTAATTCCTCCAGCCCAAATAACCCATGCCCACCGCTTTTGTGGAAAAGTTCCCACATTCCATTTCTCTCACACTGTTACTATGAGGATACCATTTTACACAAAAACAAGTACTAGATTCGCCCAGGATTCCTTTCACCTGATAGATTGGAAATTCCTCCATTCCATGAACTTAAACTTTCCTATTTCGGGGTGGGTAGAGAGGGAGAATAGGTGAAAGAAATACTGAAATAGCTTATGAAGCCAATTTGGAAAAAGATAAAAAAGATCCTAGCAGCTACCTTGCATGTCTACTCATGAAGCAAGCCGTAGTGCCAATCTCCCAATGGCATACTCATGCGGCAACGGGTTACATCAACCCCAATTCCACATTGCATTAGCCTGCAATAATAAAACTACCAAGTTTAACAACAGAAGGCCACGCTTTAAGTTCAAATTTTTGGTGGTGGTGGTTTTTAGAACCCTCTACGATTGTGATCAAGCCTTGAAATAAATCCTTACTATTCCTGGTCGGCAGGGAAAATAAGAAGGGCTGGAAAACATAGCTATGATCTTGTGCTGCAATTAGGCTCATGGAAGAACATATGTTGGATACATTGCGGAAGATCCTGCTCTAAATTAAATTACCAGACTATTCCCATTTCCTGGGACAAGTCCCTCATATTACAAAATCAATCCCCTGACAAAATCCATTGAAGTTGAAAAAAGTGTCCACCAGATCCATTGAAAAAGGTCTTGGTAACCTTAACTCTAAATCCTATTTTTGGTAGAGAGGTTAGGGATGGAAGAGGCCCTTGCAGGCAAAATATACAGACACACACCCCACACCATATAACTACAGCATGGGTAGCAACTAAGGCCCGGGCCGGATTCAGCCCAATCGCCTTCTCATCCGGCCTGCAGATGGTCTGGGAATCAGTGTGTTTTACATGAATAGAATGTCCTTTATTTAAAGTGCATTTCTGGTTAGTTGTGGGGCATAGAATTCGTCATTATTTTTTCCCAACAAAAATATAGTCCTGCCCCCCCACAAAGTCTGAGGACAATGGACTGACCCCCTGCTGAAAGGTTTGCTGACCCCTGCCACTATAAGTAATCGACCTGTGGGGTTACAATACAGCTATTTTTGGAGGTAGTTCCCATGCGCATGTGCGTGAAGCCTTTTTTGAAGCAAGTGCCCCTACATACCTTCTTGACAAACTCTGATTCAACTAGAAGCTTGAACATTTGAGGAAAAAGAGGACAACTTTGAATGCGGAGGACAGTGGGAGCTGAGATTTATGCCAACTAGAGCCACCCCTTCCTTGCCTCCCCACATATCCTGAAGAGGCAGGAAAACCCAGAGCTGCTTCTTTCCTGCCCAGGCGAATGAGCAGGCCACCAAGAGTAGCATATCCAGAAAGCGGAGGACATTAGAAAGGATGTGTAACTTGGTGATGCTTTGCAATGAAAAGGTGGCTCACCAAAAGACAAATGTTTTAGAACTCAACACTGCTAAAGGAGTGGCCCACCTTCAAGGTCAGGGACTCCACAAGGGACAGGATTTCTTCAATAGCTTGGAAGAATTCTTCCACCTCCATATAATAGCTTAGCAGGTAGTGGGGGAAAAATCCTTCGGGACTCCCATGCAGGCCTCAGAACTCTCCGCTAGAAATCCCAAACTCCTGAATCTCATTCCTTGCACCAGAACCAGACGATCCTTGCTGATTCTTTTTTTGCCTTGTGGGAAACATAAGGCTGGATTCTCCCTTTCAATGCAGCTGAGTTAAAAAAACGCCACGACAGTGGGATCTATCGGCTTGTTTCTTGCGTATTTAGCAGATTAATGTGCTCCAGAAAGCGTGCTGGGAGACCACAGGTTCAGGAAACAACGAAGAAAAGCAAAAATAACTTTTGCTTGGCTTTAATTACAAACAATCCTCTTACATTAAATTACATTACATCTATAGTATGACCCATTCAACCAGGGTACTGAGAGAGGTAGCACTGCTCTTTATATACACTCTCTCTCTCTCTCTCTCTCTCTCTCTCTAATATATATATATATATATCACACATATAATATACCTTTTAATTATCCTCCACTGCTGACACAGCTTAATTAAACACAACTAACAGGCATCTGCTATACTCGCTTCACAGCTCTAAAACAAGTCGTGATATTTGCTCTGGCCTTTAAGAGATCACATCTCTGAAACAATAAGGAACCTTAATATATTAAAGAAAACCATTCAGCAGTTTCTTGGCTTGCGTGGTCTCAGGTGGTCTTGGGCAGAGGCCAGGACGTCTAAGCAGCAATTTTGAACTTCAGGGCAGAGAAAATGAAGTGGAAATGGCACCAGCCCCCCCTTGGCCAATTATTTCCGCCTTCACAAAAGACGGCATTCTCCCCCGGCATTTGCAAAGAGTCCCCTCCCTCTCCGAAGGACTTACCAAATGAAGTACAGATCCATGAGCGGAAGAGAAGGATGGACCAGGAAGGCTCTGCTGGCAACTTCCACCATCATATTTTGGCCAGGAGCGAAGAGTATGCTTTGTTTTCAGCCCAATGCCTTTCTTACAGGGCTCGCCCACACCTCCTCTTGTCCTGCGCCTAGAAAGGCGG